AGAAGAAAAGAAAAAGTGGGCAAACAATCAGATGGGAAAAGTCAAGCAATGGAGACAAAGAGGACTGGGGTGGGGGGTCTCTCTATTCTTTTGTGTGTGAACCCTGTCACACACCAATTTAAAGACCCCAAGCTGCTATTGTGGCCATAGACACCAAGACACTATAGACAGGCAAGACATCCTATTTACCACCCAAAGTAGCAGGGGGTGAGTCTGGGGTTTGGGGTCATGCAGGAGGCAGCGGTCATCTCCCGGTCAACTACAGTAGGTCATTATTCAGCCAGAGCCAATCGCCCAGAACCGCGTCCGAGCAACCCACCCCCCAATCCATTCTGCTTAATTATTATAAATGAGGGGCGGCATAAACAGCCATCATTACAGACACTCAGTGGCATACACAAATCCACTTTAAATTGCTATTAAGTTAAGAAGCTATCTGTAATCCCAGGCGTGCATTAGAAAGGAGCAAGTAGGTTTTCTTTTTATTAAATCTCATCGTCCCTGAGATATTTTCAAACGTTCTCCTGCTCTGTCATGTTTCCGATTTGAGGCCAATTCTCTGATTTAATTAAAAGCCCACTTGGAAAAACGGACACTAAGCAGCCATCCCCATCTCTGGTTATGCACATTATTATCCCTGTTTTTTTTTTTTTAAGATTGATTTTAAGAAGATTTTTCTGGTGCAGTGCTCTTAATCCTCCCAGATCATTAAATCTGTTCCAGCAGATTCGACTGGCGTGTGTTTGGGCGCAGGCGATCTGACCGCAGGTTTACAGAAGGTGCAGCTGGTTGCGTGACGGAAGAACTGCAGTGCACGTGATGAGTCCGTGCAGAGGATCGAAAAGAACGAAACGCGGGGAAAATGGAGAGGACGCAAGCAGAAAGGCTGCTAGAGGAGGACGAGATGGAGGGGGTTGGAAATGTGGAAGGAGGGAGAGATTGTAACAAGCAGGCGGTGGGTTCAGCGGCAGGGCAATGAGAGACTTCCTGCGCTCCATCACGCCCAAGGCCTGCCTCAGTCAGCTGGTGGCCGAGGAGAGATGCCTCATGTGTCAGGCTCATTAGCACTCCCCCTAGTTTGTATGCATTTGGGATTGTTTGTGTGTGTGTTTGTGTTTCAACCAGGCAAAGGTGAGTGTGTGAGGAGCAGGAAGGAACATCGTATCCATGCAGGATTTATTTATTTATAAAAAACGGTGCATTTCTCGAGACGGAACAAGGATTTTAAAGGAATGTTTTGTTTAGGTGCTTGATGATGGCGTGACACGACACCTGCCTCGCCCGTCGTCTTTCACCTCACCCGAGCGGCCCCGGCTCACCTTCTCCCCGCTTCAGGCTCGGGTAGCTGTCAGTCTGTCCTCCGGTCGGCGGCGTGAGCGATGGGCCTATCAGGACGCCGCCATTAGCCAGCCCCCTGAGTGGTAAATAAACGATCGCGCCGGTACACTGCAGGTGTTGTCATGGCAACCCACTCTCAGTGCCAGCCCCGCCCACCCTCTTTCCAAGCGCTCTCAGCGGAGGAGTCACGGGGAGGTCAGCGAGTCGACGCACGGCAGCCGCCACGACACGGCGCTGTCCGTCCCCCACGTTTGATGCTGCAAACACAGATCTGAACGGGAGACATTCCCCAGAACACACACACATTTTTACTCTTAACCACAAACCTTGTCACGAGGGTCACGACACAGTTTGATGAGAGAAAACAGACTCTGCAAAGTCCGTTCATTGATCCAAGAAATACACAATTTATCTTTATTAATAATAATAATAATGATGATAATAATGTCTGATGTTAAGAGGTTTGTGTCCAAAGAAAAGTGCATTTTTTCCCTTTAATTCAAACATGAATTTCATTATTAGGGTTTTTACATAATTTCTTTCAATCAAGACTTTTTTTTAATCAAATTCTGTCCGTTTTATTTATTTACCTTTTTTGTTGTTGTTGTTGTCACACACAGGTGGCATTTATTTTGCTTTATTTGTTGGTATTTGTTCCAATTTTAAATTAAAGTTTTAGTTGTGATTTTGGCGAGTCACTGCAGGGATGAGGGGAAGAATTGAGCACTTATCAGATGTTAATGAAATCGTGAAAATAAAATTTCCTGGACGATTAATTGTCTCAGAAATTATTGCGATAAACGATAATATTGATTGAAATTTGACAATAAATTTTTGTGTGTAGTACCTTTTTTGACCACCGGATGGCGGTATAAGGCGGTTTGAATCAAAGGATGGATAGTGAGGGAGCGAGCAGCGTGTCTCTTTAAGAAAAATGAGATAGAGGCTCCTTGACATGACATGGGCTGTCTCCTTCCTTTATTCGTTTCTTAAATTGGTGGATGCTCGGTGTGGTTTGAGCTCTTTAGCATAATATTTTTCACACAAAGCTTTTAATAAATAAATCAGTAAACAAGTTCTCAACTTCTTTTTGCAGAGAAAAACAACTTTTTACACGAAGGCACGGGTTTCAACCGTGAAGTTTGGCGCTTTGACAAGACGGAGGTTTTTCCCCGAAGTTGGCCTGTTAGCTTAGCTCGTAGCTTCGCTGCGTTTAACGATCCAAAAATGCAATTTTGGGCGTTTAAAACGGATTTTAAAGAGAAAGGGAGCGGTCAGTGAAGAACCGGAGTTGAGCTTTTTGTCATCGAGTGTCTTCAGTAGAAAGAGAGACACGAAGAAACGATAAAGCTGATAAATGAACATGAGGTTGATCATTTTTATTTAACATGCGATTAATTGATTTATTGTTTATCGTGACAGACCTAGATATTACGCCATAAATATAAAATAATATAAAACAAAGACAGAGATATGAGTTTGTGGCGTTGAAGGATTTATTCGACCCTGAAACGCCGTTTCCGTGTGGATGCAGAACTGAAACGATAAAAACAGAAATAAAAATCTGCATATTCCTCAAACATTGTTCCCGTGTGGACTTGGTTTCCGTCCAGAACCGGGCCGCGGGCCATCGTTTAGTGAATCCTGCCTCATGACATCATTTTTCTCCCTCAACTCTAAAACGTTTCAACCTCAGAAAGAAGCAACGGCAGGAACTGGTGGCGCAGCGAGCTGACATTGAGGAGTTCACTCGGTTTTTGTCATTTGGATCATTTACTCCCCGCGCCGTGCGGAATGTCCCCGTTACAGCAGGTGTACTCTGGATGAACTCGCTTCGAGTACGAGGAAGATGGACTCTGCACGCCTGACAGACTTCCGCCGCCGTTGGCACCCGCTCAGCGACGCACCAGTTGTATTAAAATGGCGGCGCTGATAATCCAAAAGACCTTTCTCGGGGAGAATTTGAGAACGGCTGCACAGATGGGCGGCGGAGATAAATAAAACTCTCTGTCACTACGGTTGGTGGAATAGTGCTGCGACGCCCCCAAGGGAGAGGAGAACGGTTTCGCTCCCTTCGCCTTACCCCCCTCCATCCGTCTGTCTCCCCTCCCCTCCTCTCTATACTTTCATCCAACTGGGAACCAGAGCCAGTTCTGGATTTTCCCCCATCCGGTCTTACGGGGGGCATAAAACGACCATTTCAGATCAACTTTTCCCTTCGTTAGCGCCCAGACACGCCATGAATCCATCGGCCTGTCAGAGAGCCGAACGTAGCCGAACGTCCCGGTCAGGGCTGATGTTCGGAGGAGAGAAACGACGAGGCCTCGGTGGACGCTCTGCTTGTGTCTGTTTGTCCCGTGAGGACTCTTGAGTCCGGCATTTCATCACGGTCTAAGCGAGTCATCCGTCCCTGCTGTCCAGGAACAGCTCATTAGCTGCAGGCCTCATTCCTCCGGCTGCAGAGGAACGTCAAGCCTCACAGATCGCCCCAACCTTCCAGGCGAGGCGTTCCATCATGTCGGTGTGTGTTCGCGCACTTTAAAACGCACGTGATGTGTTCTTTATGTTGCAAAATGAACTTCTCACACGGCCATTTTCAATCTGCCGGAGAACAGAGATGAGCGGGAAAACAACAGCTGTAAACAGATTCTACGTCCTTTTGGTCCAAACGTTGATCCAACGTACATTTTTAATTCTTGTCCAGCTGCTGGGATCAGATGATGTAACCATCCAAGTTCACAAAATGCTTAAATCAACATATTTATTTCCGTCTTATAAGAAAAGGCTTGAAAATGATGTAAAATGTGCAGCCGAGTAAAGTTTTCTTTGAATAATATCTTAATGTTGTTACATAATTGTGCACAATTTATTTGCGCAAGGCTAATTTTATTGTTGCAGTAGTTAAATGCAACAAATTAAATTAAAATAATTTGTGCTCTTGAAGATGCATATCAAAAATGGAGTTGAAAATTATATTTTTACAATGTTTGTTTAGGTCAAGTTTTACCTCTAAATAAATCAGATGTTTGTTTAGAATAACGGATACTTTTTTCTGTTGCGTTAATTTGTCTTAAAGGACTTTATTTTTCAGTCACTGTGGAATAAGTTACTTTTATAGATAAAAAAGTGCTTGTTTTATTTTCCTATCTGATATTTTTGTGTAAAATTGTTTACATTGTTTCATATTTTTCACGATACGAAGCATTTATAAAAAATCTTTTTGTCTTTCCCGTCACAAATCGGAGAAGATGTCTCGACTTTAATGAGTCTGGGGGAAAGAAGCCAGCTGTGCTTATGGCTTTAAAGCCGTTACAAAAAGCTGTTTTATTTTAGGAAATCACCGTCTTGATTGCCTTGTTTACCGTTTTGCACAATTTTTAATGAAAACCCTCGAAGCTAATGAACCCACATGTCTGTTAGAAAATTGCAAATGGCCGTTTGTTGGATGGGTTTAGGCTGTCCTGCGTGTCCTCTGCTAAAATCGTCTCCATGCAGCCGAGGAGCGATTTTAACCTCCTGGTTTTTGCATTTTAAACCATTTTGGCCAATCGGGAGTTAAAAATCATGGGAATAATTGCTGTTATGCTAATAATGCAGAGTAAAAAATCACTCTCAAACCAAACAGAAACGTGTTTTGTTTGTTTTCTTGACTTGGATTCCAGGAGTACAACATTCACGGCTGGTGGGTCGGCGAACTGGAAGGCAGCATCGGGATCGTCCCCAAAGACTTCCTGCAACCCGCCTACATCCTCTGAGCTCCAACAGGTACCGGCTCTCCTTCTCATGAGCATTATGGACCATTACTGAGGCCTAATACTCAGAAACAGTCCCCCTGGTACTCATCCAGGTTCATTGGGTCTGACCTGCAGTTTGTGGCATCTGCTGGCTGGAAGAAGAACTGCACAAAGTGAACAAATAGAAACTCGTTCTGTTGAAGACGATGTTTCCATAATCCTGCTAGAAGTGGACTCTGGATTATTAATGCTTGTTTTTTTTATTCTTGTGTTCCCTCCACAGCGCTGCTGCTGTCGAGTCACACGTTTCACCCTCAGACACACCCGAGATGATTAATGGTTTAAAATTCTTCTTATTCTGATGAAAATTCTCTAATGCGTCACGTTGTGCTCCTACACACTATAAATGTTTTACAAACGGAATCAGCGTCTGACAAACTGGATGTGAAACAGATTAAACAAATTTATTTGGATGTACTTTTTTTATCATTTGTGTGTGGAAGCGTTTCCTGACTGATGCAACGTTATACCGACCGAGTGACACTTTTATCACTCTTTAAAGATGCAATCTGTTTGTCACTGATGGTTAACGTCTCCTTGAATAAAATAATCTGTAAGCAAAAGCTGTGGCTGGATGCCCGCAGGTGACTTGAAGCAGGTCCAAGTTAAACTAAACATTTGTTGACTCAGAACCAGCCTTCAGATTGTTTATGTTCAGGGTGTACAACTTTAGAGCTGTCTCACATTATATGTAGGAAACTACTGGAGTCAACTTTTAAACTGCACTGTTTATATATATAACATAA